GTATTCTTGACTTGTGGTGTACAGGTTTTATGAAGCCTTAATGACGCTTGAGGAGCTAGGCTTAAACCCAAAATGTTAATACCAGTAATAGAGACAGTAGAAGTTATAAGACCAGTAATGTTTTAAATTCTATTCTGATAACCTCGTGACATCAACCATTAGAGTACTTAAATTTTTATCAGTCTGGCTGGTTCAGCAAGATCAGGGAAACACAGGATTTTTACATTATAAACAAAATTACCTTTTATTTTTGTAACATTTTATTTAAAAAAATATAAATTAGTTCAGCATGAGATCAACAGTGTAAACAGTGGCGTCGCCCGCCCACTAACACCCACCCACCCACCCTCTTCCTTTCAAGAGAAGCCTTGATGCTGTTGAAAGGCTGTTGATTCAAGAAACTGGAGCTACCCTCCCCTTCCTCGGATCATACCTTATTGCCTTCCAATTCTCCAGGCGCTGAATGAACCTGGTTGGTTTAGCGCTTCCCCATGAATATAATATCGTCTTGGAGCACGGAACCTGGCGTCGACTGAGCACTCCACCCTCGCTGGTATATTCACTCACGTAACACTTTTTAATACCCTAAAACTAAGTCGTCATTTCACGTGCCTCTACACTCCAGTTATTCGGAATCATAACACTTCGGCTAACTGTTGACCTTTCTAATTGTGTAATGTACACCTGCTTGGCGACCTCAGCTGCAACGTCTATTTCTGTGGTATTTATAATACATATATACATTGTCTCCCACCCCAACGTCTCTACCACGACAGGGACCATCTTTCCAAACTCCCACCACCACGCTAGGGACTGCTGCCTCTCTCCACTACCATTATTTCCACAAGAATCGCCACTTACGTTTTTATGTAGACTGGATATTCTCTCTCTCACCCAAGAGACAGACAGACACAGACAGACAGACGCACGCGCGCGCACACACACACACACACACACACACACACACACACACACACACACACACACACACACACACACACACACTTGCTCTCTCTCTCTCTTGCTCGCTCTCTTGCTCTCTCTCTCTCTTGCTCTCTCTCCCTCTTGCTCTCTCTCTCTCTTGCTCTCTCTCTTGCTCTCTCTCTCTCTCTTGCTCTCTCTCTTGCTCTCTCTCTCTCTCTTGTTCTCTCTCTTGCTCTCTCTCTCTCTCTTGCTCTCTCTCTTGCTCTCTCTCTCTCCTGCTCTCTCTTTCTCTTGCTCTCTCTCTCTCTTGCTCTCTCTCTCTCTTGCTCTCTCTCGTCCCCATTTTCCCTTCTAACTCTCCCCTCTCCTACTCTTAAAAAAAAAAAAAAAAAAAAAAAAATGGTGGGGACTCGCAGGACCCAGGGATCAGATGAGAATGGTTCGGGTAGGGAGGAGTGGATGGAGGAGCAGTGGAAAAGGATGGAACAAGAGGGGAGAGAAAATTAGGAGAGCTTTCTGAAAAAATGGAGAAAAGAGCTCTCTGTGAATTGGAAAGGTGGTTGAGAAGGAGACAAAGAATTGGAGGCACAAGTCGAAACTGCAGTAGCCAAGATAAGGGTCCTAGAAGTTGAGATAAATAGGCTGGAGCGAGTTACAGGGGCAGTGACCAGAGAAGACACAGCATATGAAGCTGCGAGGCTGAACAGAAGGAAGGAATTATGAATTATGCTAAGGCCACATCAATCTGCCAAGGAGGACCAAGGAGTGAAAGGGAAGATCAACTGGTTGCAGATGGAGAGGGTGATAGGTCGAATGCTGAGGCAACAAAAAGGCTATCAAGAGCCACTGGAAAAATCAAGGGAGAAACTGACCACACACAGGCAGGATCCAGAGCCACAGAGGGTGAGGCAATGCGAGGAAGAAAGGGCAAAATCAGTGTTTATCCATGGGCTTCAGAGAGAGAGGAAAGGACACACACTGAAAGGAAGCAGAAGAAAGGAAGGAGATTGAGAAAATCATAACAGAAATAGGTGAAGAGAGGGACAGATTGTAAATTTTCAGAGAATAGGGGGGTACTCGAAGGTGAGAAACCGACAATCAAGCTGATTCTCAGGACGGAAACAGTGCGGAACAGGATCCTCCAAGAGAAACCACGATTGAAATACTCGGAAGAGTACAAGAGGGTGTTCCTAGACAGAGACAGAACAAAATCAGAACGACAGCAGCTGAGGGAGAGGACAAAAAAGCGAAAGGAGCTAGGAAAAGAGACAAGGAGGGAACCAGCAGAGGTCAGTCAGAGCAGGACAGAACAGCAAGGCAAGCCACACACAACTACTCTCAGAACCACACAACCTATCACACCATCCCAACACACCCTACAATTCCATACCCACAGCCTCCACCCAACACCAAGCTATAGAACCCCACAGTATGCCACCAGGTCTCCCACCCTCACAGGCCCCCCCCAAACCACAGTGTTGGAAAGGAAACTGAAGGTATGGTACACAAACGCTGATGGAATAACAAATAAGTGGGAGGAGTGGCAAGAAAGAGTCAAAGAAGCATCACCGGACATCATAGCTCTCACAGAAACCAAGCTTACAGTATGATAACAGATGCCATCTTTCCAACGGATACCAAATCCTGAGGAAAGACAGAGGGAACAGGGGGGGTGGAGGAGTGGCGTTGCTGATCAAAAATCGCTGAATTTTGATGAGCTGGAGAGAGAAGATAGCGAGAAGAAAGTGATTACATAGTGGGGAACACTTCACTCTGGAGGTCCCAAGGTGGTAATAGCATGATGTATAACCCACCACAGAACAGCAGGAGGCCAAGGCAAGAGTACGACGAGAGCAATAGAGCGATGGTTGACACACTGGCTAGAGTGGCCAGAAGAGCTCATGCATGCAGGGCAAAGCTCCTGATCATGGGTGACTTTAACCACAAGGAGATAGATTGGGAGAACTTGGACCCACATGGGGGCCAAGATACTTGGAGGGCTAAGATGATGGAGGTGGTACTGGAGAACTTCATGTACCAACACGTAAGGGACACTACAAGAGAGAGAGGAGAGGATGAACCAGCAAGGCTGGACTTAGTATTCACCTTCAGTAGTGCAGATATCGAGGACATCACATATGAAAGACCCCCTTGGGCCAGTGACCATGTGGTTGTAAGCTTCGAATACACAGTAGAGCTACAAGTGGAGGGAGAAGCAGGAAGGCCAGGACGAATGAAGCCAAACTACAAGAAAGGGGACTACACAGAATGAGGAACTACCTGAACGGGTTCAGTGGACAGAGAACTGGCAGGGAAACCAGTTAATGAGATGATGGAATATGTACAATAAAATGCAGGAGGCTGAGGAGAGGTTTGTACCCAAGGGTAACAGGAGTAATGAAAAAGCCAGGATGAGCCCATGGTTTACCCAAAGGTGCAGGGAGGCAAAAACCAAGTGTGCTAGGAAAATGGAAGAAATATAGAAGGCAAAGGACCCAGGAGAATAAGGAGAACAGTCGTAGAGCCAGAAATGAATATGCACAGATAAGAAGGGAGGCCCAAAGACAATATGAAAATGACATAGCAGCGAAAGCCAAATCTGACCCGAAACTGTTGTACAGCCACATCAGGAGGAAAACAACAGTCAAGGACCAGGTAATCAGGCTAAGGAAGGAAGGAGGAGAGACAACAGGAAATGACCGGGAAGTATGTGAAGAACTCAACAAGAGATTCAAAGAAGTGTTCACAGAGGAGACAGAAGGGACTCCAGAAAGACGGAGAGGTGGGGCACACCACCAAGTGCTGGACACAGTGCACACAACCGAGGAAGAAGTGAAGAGGCTTCTGAGTGAGCTAGATACCTCAAAGGCAATGGGCCAGATAACATCTCCCCATGGGTATTGAGAGAGGGAGCAGAGGCGCTATGTGTACCCCTAACAACAATATTTCAATACATCTATCGAAACAGGAGATTGCCTGAGGCATGGAAGACAGCAAATGTAGTCCCAATCTTTAAAAAAGGAGACAGACATGAAGCATTAAACTACAGACCAGTGTCACTGACATGTATAGTATGCAAAATCATGGAGAAGATTATCAGGAGAAGAGTGGTGGAACACCTAGAAAGGAATGATCTCATCAACAGCAGCCAGCATGGTTTCAGGGACGGGAAATCCTGTGTCACAAACCTACTGGAGTTCTATGACATGGTGACAGCAGTAAGACAAGAGAGAGAGGGTGGGTGGATTGCATTTTCTTGGACTGCAAGAAGGCGTTTGACACAGTTCCACACAAGAGATTGGTGCAAAAACTGGAGGACCAAGCAGGGATAACAGGGAAGGCACTACAATGGATCAGGGAATACTTGTCAGGAAGACAGCAGCGAGTCATGGTACGTGGTGAGGTGTCAGAGTGGGCACCTGTGACCACGGGGTCCCGCAGGGGTCAGTCCTAGGACCAGTGCTGTTTCTGGTATTTGTGAACGACATGACGGAAGGAATAGACTCTGAGGTTCCCTGTTTGCAGATGACGTGAAGTTGATGAGAAGAATACACTCGATCGAAGACCAGGCAGAACTACAAAGGGATCTGACAGGCTGCAGAACTGGTCCAGCAATTGGCTCCTGGAGTTCAATCCCACCAGTGCAAAGTCATGAAGATTGGGGAAGGGCAAAGAAGGCCGCAGACGGAGTACAGTCTAGGGGGTCAGAGACTACAAACCTCACTCAAGGAAAAAGATCTTGGGGGTGAGTATAACACCAGGCACATCTCCTGAAGCGCACATCAACCAAATAACTGCTGCAGCATATGGGCGCCTAGCAAACCTCAGAACAGCATTCCGACATCTTAATAAGGAATCGTTCAGGACCCTGTACACCGTATACGTTAGGCCCATATTGGAGTATGCGGCACCAGTTTGGAACCCACACCTAGCCAAGCACGTAAAGAAACTAGAGAAAGTGCAAAGGTTTGCAACAAGACTAGTCCCAGAGCTAAGAGGTATGTCCTACGAGGAGAGGTTTAAGGGAAATCAACCTGACGACACTGGAGGACAGGAGAGATAGGGGGGACATGATAACGACATACAAAATACTGAGAGGAATTGACAAGGTGGACAAAAACAGGATGTTCCAGAGATTGGACACAGTAACAAGGGGACACAGTTGGAAGCTAAAGACACAGATGAATCACAGGGATGTTAGAAGTATTTCTTCAGCCACAGAGTAGTCAGTAAGTGGAATAGTTTGGGAAGCGATGTAGTGGAGGCAGGATCCATACATAGCTTTAAGCAGAGGTACGATAAAGCTCACGGCTCAGGGAGAGTGACCTAGTAGCGATCAGTGAAGAGGCGGGGCCAGGAGCTCGGACTCGACCCCCGCAACCTCAACTAGGTGAGTACAACTAGGTGAGTACACACACACAGGAGCAAGGACTCGACCCCTGCAACCTCAACTAGGTGAGTACACACATCTCATGGAGCAGGGAGAGAGTGGACCTAGTAGTGATCAGCGAAGAGGCAGGGCCAGGAGCTGTGAATCGACCCCTGCAAACACAAATAGGTAAACACACACACACACACACACACACCCTCACTAAACATTATTTCTGTGCTCTAAAACGAATTATTCCTGCAGTTGTAGTATATTGCGTTTGAAGTGTTAATACAACACAAGAGTTAACATAAACAAGATTCACCGGTATGGTTGTCAAGTGTGTAGAGAGTTGCTACATTTCTCGTTTCAAGTGCTTTTTACCATTTATTGCGACACATCTTCCATATTTGTTTTCATGTTCACCATAAAGTGTCTGCAGTATCTCGGCTTAAGTTCTTGCAAGATGAACACCTCTCGACTCCGTTGTGTCTGCAATAACCTCGTTTTTTTTTGTCTCTTAAGTATCTGCAAGACCAATTCCTCTCTGCCATACTACACCTGACTTAACGTTCGTAATTTTTTTTATGGTATCGTTGTGGACATGCGATGGGCGAAATTTCACTGGACTTCTCACAAAGCACTGTTTAAGGTACCGAGGTGGAATTATCCAAGACTTCTTTTGTACCTTGGCGGTCAGGTTTCTCTCACCTGGGCCCAGCCTCAAAAACCTGCACTACTAATGAGCTGATGTGGTTACTGTGGCCATGTTGTACATAACACACGGAAGTTGGCTCGGTATTTCGTAAGGTTTGAGTCTCCTTTCATCTTAGACATGAAGTTGTAAATAGTTGCACTCGAGTGGAAATTATCATAGCAACAAGGGGAGCTTCAGAGTAACGTTAGTTAATATGTGGAACTGTTTTTGGGTGGACTTCAATACTTTATATTAAAGCAAGATAGTGATCTTTATTGACGCATTGATGTCACTAGTAATATCAACTGAAGGCTTCTCTTATTTTCATGTAAATAATCTTGTATTCCACATTGCTCCTTTTTTTCAGTTTCCTTACATTGTGTTTCCTCTCATTTCTCCAGGCGCTGTATAAGCCCTACGGGTTTAATGCTTCCCTATTAATGTAATATTGGGACATCATTTCACTGTGTAGAGCTTTATTTAGTCATGACCTAATAAAGCTCGCTTCTGAAGTTTGTCTTCCTAGAGGTGTGCTCATATACCCTCCTTGTATTTAACTTCATGTAACTAAATATTGTATTCAACTTCATGTAACTAAATATTGTATTCAACTTCATGTAACTAAATAGCATATTTGACTCCAGTGTGTTCAGCATGAAGGAATGGAGAGAGGATGTGTCACATATATACATGAGTGGCAGGAAATGCTTCTTCAGTGTGAGGGTAGCTAGGAGGGAGAACGAACTGGATAAGGAAATAGTGCAAACTGTTCGTACACTGTTTTAAAAGTGGGTGATAAGGTCCATGAGGCCAGAAGTATTGTGACAGTGAGTAGTCGAGAGGCAGCGCCGTGAGTAGATTCCGCTACGTGTAAGCATAAGCAGGCGATCACGTGATTCTTAAGGGTCAGGGTCATACCCTCGCAACAGAAATAACCAAATACCCATTCCTCCAGACCCCTTCATTCAATCCTCCTTCATTCACTCCTTCCAATCTTCTTCATTCAATGCATTTGTTCCAATCCCCTCCATCCAGTCATCCAGTCCTTCCTGCAGTTCCTCCTGTACGGTGCGGAATTTCGCTGCGTGGTTCAGTCACCTGGAACTAGTGGTTTATCCCGAAATAAATATGTAAATAAGCTGTAGGACCCCTACAAGTTGAGAGCTTCCTATACAATAATAATAATACAGTTAGGAAAGGGTGGAGCTACAGAGCTCAAGAGAGTGCTGAGCCAGCTGCTGGGAAGCTGTGGACCCTTAATGGTTATCTCTTGTAGGATTACCTACATCCGTAACTTAATAGCCATGTTGGCCGGCTACACCCTCTACACTTGACCACTACACTACTCTTTACACCTGGCCACCTCCTTCATACTAGACCCCAGGGTGCTGTATAGCCCTTATGGCTTAGCGCTTCTTTTTGATAATAATAATAATTAGACCCCAGGGGACACTCAGTCCACTGAATCCAACATGGTCGTTGCTGCCATGGTTCGCTATATGGCCATAGACTATTGCACCTTCACATGTGCTCGTAGACACACGGTCTTGCCGTGCTCCTCCTCCTCACAGATCACGATCATAATATGACAACACTTATCAAGGTTCTTTTTTTTTTCTCACTGATAAAACAGTACGGGACAGTATAACACCATCCCCTCAAGGAAGGCTTCTTGATGCTGGTGAGGGGCTCTTGAGGGAAGGAATTGAACCTGTCCTTTTCTTTGGATGGAAACTTATTGCCTCTCATTCCTCCAGGCACTGTGTGGCTGGCTTAGCGTCTTAGTTTTCTGATCTTTCTGGAATTAGTCGAGAGAGCAGCACTTAAGTTTGTCTCTGTTCTGGAGTAGTATTAGTAATTTTTAAGTTTTTAGTCTGAGACTGGACGATCTGGGTGGGCTGATAAGTGTTTAATGACAAGAATGTTTTCCATTTATATTAATCTTCAGTTTTGAGATTTTTGACTGGTTATATTTGGAGGGGAGGAAGGGGGGAACTATGCTTCGTGTTTCGTCAAGTCTTTGGGTAATCCCAAAGAAGCATTTGGTAACCTTTACTCCGTCCAACTCTTCAAAGGGAATGAGGGTGGGGGTACCTTGATGCTGGCGAAGGGCTCTTAATCAAAGGACTTTGAGCTACCCTGGAGGAAGGCTCCGCTGTTGTCAGGGCCACCAGTCTTTCTCAGGCAGGGTGCTGTGTAGAGGGAGGGAAGCCACACTGCTGCCAGGGCCACCAGTCTTCCTCAGGCAGGTGCTAGGTGGAGGGAAGGAGACCATATGGTCATCATGACCACCAGTCTTCTTCGTCATACAAGGTGTAGGTGAAGGAAAGGAGGCCACACGTAAGGAGCGAGGGGAGCCGGGTGTGAAGGGACCAAAACATACTCTGAAGGGAGTCGTTAGATTTAGGTGAACTTTATAAGAGAATGTCTGGTATAGGACGAGGGTTGGCTTCGAGCAGAGGGGAGGATAAGAGGAGGCAGAAGGGCACCCAGAGAGGCAGGGAGAGTGCCACCATATCTAATACCTCTCCCGGGTGCCTGGGCGAATAGACTGCTCCTACTTCATAATGCAATTCACCTCAGCCAGCAAGGCAGGGGGAGTGCCACCTTAACTGAAACGTGCCCTGGGTGCCTGGGCGAACAGCACTCCTTGGTACATAATGCCATTAACTTCCATGCTGACTACCATGCTCTGATCCCCACCTACTCCATCACCTGTCAAAAAAAGCATCAGCATTATTAATATCAGAAGCATCATCATTAAATACTTATGTAAGAACAAGATGCAGTGAATGACTACAGAATACTTTCTAACAGTATTGTCAGAAAATATTTCAGTTTGAGTAGTTAAGTGGAACTTTGTAGATTAGAAAATACAAGCAGACTCCGTAAGCATCTAAGAGAGATGTTAAGAGAGAAGAAGCCGAGAATCGACCCCAATAACTAGATACAACTATGTATGCACGCAGGCCCAGGAGCTGCAGCTTTACTCTCAGCAAACTGTGCTAGGTTATTATCAACTATATATATCACGTAATGAAACCTCTCATCTTACAGTTCAGCGGTTTTTTTTAATGTGAATGTAATAATGTAATCTTTCGGCTCTCCCTCACTCACCCCTGGATGTGATCTTAATATTGGCACCGGGCAGTCCTGGGGGCGTGGGCGTGGTGGGCGGGGGCACGCGTGGGTCGTGGGCGTCCTCATGGTGCTGGGCGGGTCGCTTGGCTGCAGGTGGTAACGCACTCTCTTCAAGGCGACTGCGTAGGTCGTTACGTAAATCATTGCGCATATCGTTGCGCAGGTCATTGCGTATATCATTACGTAGATCGTTACGTAGATCGTTACGTAGGTCGTTGCGCAGGTCGTTGCGCAGGTCGCTGTGCAGGTCATTGCGAAGATCTGAATTTTCCTTGAGACGTCCAGGCCGCTGTAAGAAAAAGAGCTGATTCTCTCGGTTATCGCGAACAGAATAAGACAATATTAAACTATCATAGGCTAAGGCGATACGACACATGTACAACAGTTATGTATCTTTATTCTGAAACGTTTCGCCTACACAGTAGACTTCTTCAGTCAAATTCAGAGATACCTGCAACTGGATACAGCTGGAGCAGTGGCAAGGTGAAGATGATGTGATCAATCCGTCAGTGTTGAGCTACTTATTCATACCTACCTAGGAATGGTAAGCTAAGTCAGTGCCGGATCAGCCGGGCTGTGGCTCGTACGTTGGACTGCGTGCGGACAGCAGTAACAGCCTAGTTGATCAGGCCCTGATCCATCGGGAGGCCTGGTCATGGACCGGGCCGCGGGGGCGTTGATCCCCGGAATAACCTCCAGGTAACTCCGCACCACACTGGGAAGAGGCTTCTCTAGGGACCCGACGGAAACCTCAACATAGACGTTGTTTATTAACCTCGACTACTTTTTATTTAATATCATGAGGGAACATCTTAGGCCTGTATGACTGTACAGTATTTCAAATATTTTACCCGGAGTGATTTCCCTACAAACGTCCATCATTCAGGATGGGAAGAGGGGAGAGGATGCATTGATGCTGGTGGAGGGCTCTTCCTCCAAGGAATTGGAGTTACCATTCCTTTGAATCAAATGTTAAACCCTGTGGGTTTAACATTTTTCCTTGAATTTAATAATTGTAAGCTTCCATGATTCGCTGTACGACGTAGCTTTAAAAATAGGTTGGACGAATATATAAGTGAGAAGGGTTAAATTTATGAATATAGTTAAAATCGCATGGAAAGGTTAGTCTAAAATCCAACCTAATATACTCGAACTAAATTAACTCTCACTAACCTAAACTAACCCAACTCAGTAATATAACCAAACTAACTTAATGTAACCTAACCTAAACTTTTTGCGTGACTTTTTCTCCTGTGACTATTTTTCTACATATGACTTGATTTGAGAAAACCTGCCTAGCATGGACCGGTAGGCCTGCTGCAGTGGTCCTTATACTCTCGTTGCACATTAATAGAAGGAGGGGTGTTAATGTTGCAGTTTAAAAACTGTAGTGTAAAGCACCCTTCTGGCAAGACAGTGATGGAGTGAATGATGGTGAAAGTTTTTCTTTTTCGGGCCACCCTGCCTTGGTGGGAATCGGCCAGTGTGATAATAAAAATAATAAAAAAAAATGATAATTTATATATATTGTCTTCTGGATAAAAAGGCTTCAAGGAAGAATATTTGGATTTCTTCCTGAAGCCGTTTGAATATTCCACTTCCCCTACCACCCCATCTTTTAATATATTTCTGTATATATTGTATATATATTCTGTATATATTTCTACAGTTTTCGAATTATGTCCATGTATTGATAAAGCCACTGGATGGCGAAATGTCTACAGAATAAAGATACCCAAATGTTGCACATGTATCTACGTCATTATACTCTCGTGTTTAAATTTGTTGAATGGCCTTTTACGTGTCTTAGACTAATGCAATCAAATGTTTACGTTTTTCCCCCTTCATGGGGTACATCTTGATGCCAGTAAAAGGCTCTTGATACTAAGAATTGAAGCTAACTTGCCCATTCCTCAGATCGAACCTGATTCCCTCCCATTCTTAACAGCTTACCATTAACCAAGGAATGTAAGAACTTACGTCTTCCTTAAGGTCGAGGTTTAATGCCTCTTTCTGTGGAGGGAAGGGGACCCCGGCGAGTGGATGGTAGGGAGGCGGCAGCTTGGGACCCTCGTCCTCGTGGGGGAAGCCCCCACCTCCTCCAAGACCCTGGTTGTAGAGCTTCCACATGGTGAGTCTCGTGGCCTCTAGCAGCGCCTCCTGCGACCCTGGCGGAGACCCACCACGACCTGAGGGACGACACAGAGTTAGCCATACAAGGACACGCAGGGAATCATCGCCGCCTCACTCTTCAAGGTGGGAGGGAGAGTCTTGATGCTGGTGAAGGGTTGTTAGTCCAAGAGATGGCAGCTTCTCTTTATCTTCTTGGGTAAAATCAGACTGCTTCCCATTCTGTAGGTTGCTGGATTACCCCTACGGATCTAGCGCTTCCTGTGAATATAATAATAATTATTATTTTCATTATATTCAAAAGGAAGCAGCAAACCCGTGTGGGTCAGGCAGCGCTGAATAATAATCGCAGCGTCGTAGTTAAAAAATTTGTGCTGAATTAATGAGGGATATGTATGGTGTAAACACACATGAGGAAGTGCTGCTCAGGTGTACATTAACATGAAGATACTAGCAGAGAGAAATGAAGAGCGGACGCCGGTAACACACAAGCTGGCACTGACTTACTGTATGCCACGTAAACCAAGACTAGGGACCGTTTCCTTGCTTGTCTTCATATACCACAGAAAGTGTAAACACACCCCAGCAGGGTCTCTACATTTCTTAAAACTGCCTCAAACAGCTGTAGCAAACACAAGCAGGAGTCGACAGACAGGGAGGGCCAAGGAGCACCTGCTGCTGTGGCTGCTGGATGCGAGGGATAGGAGGGATGGACGGGGTGTGTGAAGTGTAGGTAGAAGTGGGTGGGGTGTCTAAGATTGGTTGAGGTTTAGAGAAAGGTGAGGCAGGTAAGAGGAGTCATAACTTGACTCTAATTCTCGCCCATAATCCTCAACACAACACCCATCCTTCTCAACCCACCGTCCTCAACCTACCTTAAACACACTGCCCACCCTCAACCTATCTCCAACCCACTACCCACCCTCGTAACGTGCTCGTGGATACCAGCACATTACCCACCTTTATCCAGCCCATCCTCCACCCACCAGCCCACCCTCCACCCACGAGCGTTTACTATCTTGCGAGACACATAATAATAACCTGGTACTGGCAGGGTGAGTGCTACATGGTATAACACGCCGCCTAATATCACCACTCACTCTCACTAATGCTCTAAACATTTAAATCCAGAATTATAAAGTACTATCAAAACTTCACAACACCCTACTCTATAATATATGCAGATGAACGAGCTTAGGTTACCTCTCTCTCTCTCTCTCTCTCTCTCTCTCTCTCTCTCTCTCTCTCTCTCTCCTCTCTCTCTCTCTTCTCTCTCTCTCTCTCTCTCTCTCCTTACCGTACCATCAACACAAAATACAGTAAACGCTGCACACACACAAGGGACTTCTCATATACAATTTTCCTACATGCAAATCAAACAAATGGAGTTTGAGTGGGTTACGTGTGCAGAGTGGGGTAGAGTATGTTGTGAAGCATAAGATGTTAGGTACAAGTGTGCGAGTAGTGGATAGTGCAGGTGTAGGGTTTAGATGAGGTTGGTAGAGGGACATTAAAATCCTGACAGGTGATGCTTATAAATATACAGAGTCAACCGCGCCACCCGGACAGTAGTCTCTGCGTCCTTCAGTACACATTCTTCGCTATCCCTTTCCCAAATTTCTCTGTCCTACGCTCCTCTATCATCTTCCTCTATACACCTTCCTCCCTGCATTGTTTCTCAACACCATCACTTTCCACACATGTCCCACCAGGGATGTGTTTGAACAGTGCTGCTCATCCTGTGAGTGATCATACCGCCATAAAGATAGGATTGACAAAACAGTAGCCGAAAAGCTTCCTTAATATAACGTCGTAGGTGTTACACATGCAACTTTACCACACATTCCACTAGTCCTTCCTGGCCGTCTTCCCACACCCTCGGGAGAGCGTGAGATTGAAACGCCCACAACAGTAGAACCTAAAGGGATCCACGCACCACTTTTCCCTATTAAGGCAGTGTGGCGCGAGAGGCCTTCATCTCTGGAGCTCCAGAGGTGAAACGACCATAGGTTGACCAACCACTGGAGGAAATGCCTTACATTTTACCTCGAGGGATGAGTGTGCTGGGCAGTGCCACTCAAGTGGGTGAAAATACCGCTATCAAATCAATATTGAGAAGTGCCGTTCATCCTGCGAGCGAACATTCTTCTGTAAAGTGAGTATTGGGCAGTGCCATTCATAGTGAGTGAACGTACTATAAAGACCGTATATTTCTGTCCGAAGTGTTGATGCTATCAACTCCATCCTTGGCTGTTGCAACACAACCACCCACCATTCTCCAATATCGACAACACCACCACCACCAGACGCCGGAAAGCACGACTAGATAGCCTCTCATACACGAGAATTATAAGGGCGGAATTTAGCATGGGTCTTCGTCAGATGCGGCGGCAGGTAACAATTAGCGGAGGTAATATAAATAGATTCGAGGAGCTGACCATTCATGTAGGGAGAGAGGCACAAAAGACTAATTATCATATCGTTTATGGACGGAATCAAACCTTATTGTGTGGCTTCCTTTGAGGCCGGGAGTGAGGCCCGCCTCTCCCAGGTATTGAGTGTCTTCACTCATCACTACACAGAAAGACACTTTGTGTACAACAAACTTTTATACACGACTTTTCGCTCTAAGCAGAACTTTATCGGTACTTTATAAACAAAAGTCTATTGAACATTTTATACACTGGCAGATTGCTGGTCTTTATAGCATGAACATGCAAATTGTATATATGTTGGTAGAATTATCGACAATATGTAAAGTAAAAGGACACAAGTGCAACTGTGACATTATATTGTTTGTAATGGCTTGACAAAGCTCCTGGAGAGCGAAACGTTGCCACAATAAAATATCACATTAGTTGCACTTGTGCCCTTTTACTTCACATGAGCATGTAAGATGACTGGTAAATCGTAAATTTTTCTTTCATTCAGTATACTCGTATCTTTACATTCCTGTCTTTTTCTTAATAGTTTTTATTCTTGTAATGTTTATTTTCCAGTTCAAGAGTCCTGGTGTGAGACCGGGCACCAGGGCAATGATCCCCGGAGCTATTAACATTTATATAAGCCTGAGCCATCAAGAAACATCAGTACAAGAGTTGAGCTGGTGGGAGCCTCCCAAGAGAGTGTTCTAGTCAGAAACCCTGGGTCAGACCAGGACCTTCAAGGGGGCGTGGTCGCGGCACTTGGCTCCGATACATGGCCACAATTCGTCAACATCCAGCACAACTCACGTAAAAACGAGTAACAATTCAGATTAAGCAGGAGAGGCTGCGGGGGCTCGAAGGTCGTATTGGATAATCAGGCGACTTGGGATTTTCGCTTTTAATTGCATGGCGTGTAATGTCTGGAATTCGTGGAGGAACATCGGCGGGATGAGTGCCTATAGGTCTGTAAAACTGCTGGCGGCTGATCCATCATCTCTTATCTACACTATCGTTGTTGCTAACTATCGCAAGGAAGCGTGACTACCCCAATATCTCCCTCATTATCTCTGTTTTACACTATCTCTCCATTATCTCCGTATCGTCGTAATTATCGCTAGACAATATCTACATTGCCGTGAAACCAAGGATGTTCTCTGCACAGCATCATGTGCTCTTGTAATGTAGTCGTCGAGGGGTGGTCGTAATGTGGTCAGTCGCAGCATTGCTTGGAAGCGCTATGGTCATAGTCATACGTCGCACAGGGTGGTCGTCATATTGGAAGGCAGAGGTAGCCATAAATGGTCTAACTGAACTAATGAGTTCGTCTTTGGTTAAGAAACCGCCAACTTAATTTTTTATAAACAAAATTGGGCACATCAACTTTGTGTTGCTACCCTATTCTGTATGATAGTTTCATAACAGGAACGAAGGTATACCTATGTTTTCCACCACAAAATGCTTTGTTTATATGATAAATGACATATTCCTGATTTGGAAGACTTTGATAGGGTACCTTTAATACGCTTTTGATGAGTTTCAACTGTTCCTTACTCCCTAAGCCCGGCTCTGGGCTAGGCTTGTTGGGTGCTTGTTTGGTCAACCAGACTTTTGCTGATAGCAGCCCGCTGGTCCACATATACATCACAGATTTGTTGATCCGGCACTTGGTGGAGGAAATTGTATCGTTTCCTCTTAAATTTATGGTATAAGTTATACCGTGAATTAAGGAAAGATCGTGGACTTCACCTTACGAAAGCAGACAACCCAAATGCGATAGTAATTACGGACAAGGTAGGTTATAGGGGGAAATGACGTATTAGAAAACATTTGAACTGACGTGCCCCTTAAAGACGTAGGATGTTAAGGATATCATTAAGCATTCCACTATAAGTTCAATAGTTACGGCAGCTTAAAGGTTTAACAGTATATACCATACCACGGGTGGGGTTCAAACCCCAATCGTGCCATTACGATTTCCTGAGTCATGTTAACAATATAATGGCGCTGTAGTTGGCTGGGAATGGGGAAGGGAGGCATTCAGGGTGACAATAAGGTGTAAGTAGTAAGGGCATCGGAGAATAAGAAGAGCCGGGTATTTACGGGGAAAAGTGGTCAGCATGATGTGTTACACGTCAGACAACTCAACGTAATGTAGATAAAGTGTTCAAAGAACCGACAGGTTGATAAATTAGGCACATGTGCAATATGCAACACTTAGGTATCTTTATTGTGGAAAAGTTTCGCCACACATTAGCTTCATCAGTCCAGTGCAAAGAAGAATAGTGAATATCAGAAGATTGAGGTAATCAGTCCCTCAGCCTGGAGTCGATGTAATTAGTCCATCAATCTTCACTTTGTGTGCGTGTGCGCGTACTCGTCTAGTTGTACTCAGTTGGTTGTGGTTGCAGGGGTCGAGTCATAGCTCCTGGCCCCGCCTCTTCACTTGTCGCTACTGGGTCACTCGCCCTGAACCATGAGCTTTATCATACCTCTGCTTAAAGCTACGAATGGATCCTGCCTCCACTAGATCGCTTCCCAAACTATTCCACTTCCTGACTAATCTGTGACTGAAGAAATACTTCCTGATATCCCAGTGATTCGTCTGTCTCTTCAACTTCCAGCTGTGTCCCCTT